AAAAAATCCCACCAGGGCAGCAGAGATTAGTGGATAGATGATGTTGGAGTGGGGAAAGGTGTAATGTGAATCTGATAAAACAGGGTGATAAAAGGTACTGATCAATAGTAATTATGTGAAATACAACGTACATGAATGAAGCACAATATATATTATATGAAAACTAATTAAAAAGACCAGGATTATTGGTCTGCCAGAGACTAGTGGAACCCTAAAGCAGTGGAGAGTGGGGGAAATAATACACAAGAAGGAACAAAAGAAAGAAGACAAAGGAGAAAAGAAAATGTGCAGGCAATTATCTCTGCAAGGATTGTGCAAAATACAAATGGAAGTATACAGGAAGATCATCATTTACTGGGAACAAGAGTAAAAAGTCATTTCTAAATCACATGCCCTCAAGCCCTCAGCTGAGAATGTCTGATTCACACTGATGAACTGGGAACTGAAATCTGGAGCAGTGAGACACAGAAGGGCCTGGCAAAAAGCAACAGAATACTACCCTTGAGGAGCAAATCAACAGCCAAGCACATTTCGGCTCCCATGGCTGCAATGTGCTGGGCTGTTAAAGAGTTCTTTGAAAAAACTACTGCCCACTTAACAAGCAAACTACTGGGATAAAGTCAGCAGACACAACCAGCGAAAAGACCACCTTAGGAACTGAGGATACAAACCAATATAAAAGAAATTTGTTAAAGTACAACAATGAATGACTGGAAACCCTAAGACTCTATAAATGTTTATCAAAATTAATTTTTAAAAAAAGCAGTTAAAAAAAAGGAAATTTGTTAAATAAAGCACTGAGAATAATAAAAATAATCTCTGGTGACCCAGAGGGTAAGGAATTATTCCACCAACTCAAAGTCAGGTAGGTAGTTCCAATCTACCAGTGGCTCAATGGGAGAAAGATGGCCAATTTCCTCTCAGGTAATTTACAGCCCCAAAATAAATCTGCTGAGGGCCATCTACGGAGTTAGTTCCAACTTGACAGTAATGAGGATTTTTTAAAAATGGAATCTGAAAGAAAAAATGGAATCTTTAAGACAAATATTTTAAAGATAGAAAGATAAGGGTAGAATTTAGAAGAGCAGCTTTTTTTTAAAAGAACAAGCAATATGAAAAAATAATAATGCATTCTAGAAGTGAAAAATACAATAGTTGAAATACAAAATTCAGTGGATTATCCAGAGGATCAGCTATCCGTTTCAACTCAATGGAAATAAATTTGGGGTTTTAAGCTGAAAAAGTTTGTAAATCTGAACGATAATAGATTGCACAGGTGCTGTTAAAAGAAAAACAATATTTTTCAGAACTGAGATATGACTCCTTATATTTACGGCTCTGAGTCTTGAGGAAGATAAATAAAGATAAAAGTATATTTTATTAGAGTGCATCTGTGGAAAGAATCACTGGAGATGCTCAAACACAGAAGTTGTGAAAACTAGGCTAGGCACTGATTGTGGAACAGACCATCAACTACTCATATATGCTAGTCCAATTTAAACTAAAGGAGTTTAAATCAAACCCACAATTTGGCATGGAGTCTATCCCAACAGAATTTAAAAACCATCTCAGTAACAGTTTCAAGGCCTGAACACAAATGAACGAAGATCAGATGAGCTGTGGGAGAATATCAAGAATATCATCCATGAACAATGCAAAAGGTCATTACTAAGAGAGAGGAGGAAGAAAAGACCAAGATGGATGTCAACAGCAACTCTGAATATTGCACTAGAACAACGAGAAGTCAAAGTAAAGAGAGGAAAGCAGTAAGCTAAGGAGCCAAATAAAAGATTTCAAAGGACAGCTCAAGAAGACAAAGTATTAGAAAGAAATTATGTAAAAGAGCTGCAGTCAGAAAATCAAAAAGTCCAAATTTGCTCAGCATTTCTTAAGCTGAAGGAACTGAGGAACAAACTCAAACCTCGAGTTGCAATACTTAAGGATGCTATGAGCAGAATACTGAATGATCTAAGAAGCATTAAAAGATGGAAGGACTAGACAGAGTTACTGTATGAAAAGAACTGTTCAATACAGAAGAATCTCATGAAACAATGTACAACCAAGAGGCAATGGTGATGAAGGAGAAAGTTCAGACTGGTCTGAAGGAAATGGCAAAAAACAAGGCCCTAGGAATTGATGGCATACCAATTAACATATTTCAACAAACAGATGCTGCCCTGGGCATATTCACCAGGTTGTGCCAAGAAATCTGGAGGATAGATACTAGGGAAACTGACTAGAAGACATCTATTTTTATTCTCATTCCATCTGACAGTGTGGAAATTATCAAATAGTATCATTAATATCAAATGCAAGAAAAATCCTGCTGAAGATTATCCAAAAATGATTGGAACCATAGTATACTGACAGAACTACCAGAAATGCAAGCCAAGTTTAGAAGAGGCCGTGGCACCAGAAACATTACCACCAATGTCAAATGGATATTGGCTAAAACTAAGAGTACCAGAAGAATGTCTCTCTTTGTTTCAGTAACTATGCAAGGGCATTTGACTGTGTGGATCACAACAAAGTGGCTAACCTTGAGGAGAATAGGGATTCCAGGACACTTGATTATGCTCATGCAAAACCTATACTTGGACCAGGAGGCAGACATCTGAACAGAGCAAGGAAACACTGCATGGTTCAAAATCAGGAAAGGAGTTGATCAGGGATGCATCCTGTCTCCATACCTTTTCAATCTGTATGTGGAACAGATTATTCTGAGGGCTGGACTTTATGAGGAGGAATGTGGCATCAGGATTGGAGGAAGACTCATTAACAACCTGCATTATACAGACAGCACAACCTTGATTACCTAAACTGAGGAGGACCTGAAACATTTGCTGCAGATGTCAAGGACTGCAGTTTGCAATACTGATTGAAGCTCAACATCAAGCAGACAAAGATTCTCACCAGTGGGCCAAATGACAGCACCATTATAGATGGAGAAGTGATTTTAACAATTTCAGCTTGCTCAGCTCCACAATCAATACTCTTGGTACCAGCAGTCAGGAAATCAAAAGATGAATTGTATTGGGGAAGTCTGTTGTCAGAAAACTCTGAAGTACTAAGAAAAAGTAAAAAGAAATTATATCAGTCTAGAGACTAAGGTGTGCCTGACCCAGGTCATGGTCTTTGCAATTACTTAAAACACATCAGAAAGCTGGGCAATGACTAAGGATGACAAAAGAAGAACGTATGCCTTTGAATTGTGATGCTGGAGAAGAATATTGAGCATAACATAGACTGTCAAAAGAAGAGGTATGCTTGAAGAGGATGAAACCAAGCTTCTCCTTGGAGACAAGGATTTTAAAGCTCCATCTCACATACTTAGGGCATGTGGCCAAGTAGAGGAGAGAAAGATTTCGAATGAGATGGACTGACACCATAGCAGGGGTCATGTGGTGGGAAGTGTCAGAGTCAGTGAGACTAGCTCAGTATAGGGTAGGATTCAGAACTACTGTACTATTCAGAACTATTGTTGCAACGAGTCATAGACAACTTGATGGCACATAACAACAACAACTATGGTACATCAAAGATAATGAAACAAACAAATATTTTCAAAGGTAAAAAAACAAACATCATTTGCTCCTTCTCCAAGAAAGACCAGCAGTTAAGCTGAAAACAGATATCATACCAGCAATAACAGATGTCAAACGACAAACAAGGATATTTGTAGCAAGAAAGAAAATCTAGAAGAAAGTAGTGGGATGTAAGAATCAATGGAAAACCAGTGAATAGATCAACACAGTATCAAAATCCTAGCTGTCTGGCTTCTTTGCAGAAATTAACAAGAATTCATACTAAAACACAAGGAAACTAGAATAAGCAAGGCCAAAGATGATAATTAAAAGTAAAGTTAAGAGAATCATATCTGGCAATTCCGAAGTTCATTACAAAGCTGCAGTACCCACGACAAGGAGAACAAATTTATCAATGGAATAGAAGCAAGATTACAGAAATGAACTTTCACATTTATAATTAACTGATTTTCAGTAAGATTGCCAAGATAATTCAATAGAGGAGAGAACAGTCTACTGCACAAATAGTCCTACGACAATGGATCTCTCATTCACACCATTTATAAAAATTAACTCAAAATGGATCAAAGATCTACTTTACAAGCAAAAGTAGAAGAAAAGATAAAAGTAAATCTTCATGTATTGAATTTGACAACAAATTCTTAGATGACACCAAAAGCACAAGTAACCAAGGGAAAATAGACAAATTGGAACTAAATTTGTCAAAAAAAAATTTTTTTTATTAAATTTTATTAGTATTAATGAACATTTATAGGGATTTTGGGTTTTCATTCGTTCATTGCTGTACCATTCTCTCTACCCTGTTTGTGCTTCAAAGGATACTATCAAGGAAGGTAAAAAGTTAGATCAAAGCATAAGAAGAAATACCCTAAAAATTAAAGAATACCTGATAATTGACTAATATGGAAATATGCAAATCTCTTCTTTATCATAATAAGCTAAAAATCCAATTAATGAGAAAGAGTTAAAATAACATGATAGCAGACTTGGGAGTTTCTGATCTAACAGACTTTCCAAAGGGAGGCTCTCAGCCAGCAGAACCCCTTGTTCTGGCTCATCATGTGAGAACAATGGCCTTGACTTCAAATGGATCACAGCATTCGGGAGAGAGGCTTGGTGCACCTGGACAGGGGTGAGCACATTCAGTTTAAAGGCAACAGGATGTGGGGCCTTCTCTCCTATCTCTAAGTAGAGAAAAAGCTTTCTGCAATGATACTCTCCTCAAAAGAGTTGCTAGCAACATGGATCCTTATGGAGGAAACTCTGTAAGGAGGGAGAAGTTGGGCATCAACTCAGGAGTGAAGATATCTGTGGGCCAGTGAAGCTGTCCCACAGACAAGGGCCACCTCCTCTGCCACCTCAAACTCCCTTGGGTAGACTCTCCAGACCTCCAGGCCTGCACACAGTGGGTGGGCAAGCAATGGCCTCAAGGGTTCTCCTCACTAGGCCACCCACCTGGGGAAGGTCCGGCTTCGCAGTTCCTTTATGAAGAGCTGGCTGCCGTTCTGCACAGGCTTGACATCAGGGTTTGGCCCCTGTTCATGTTTGTGCCAGCTCCGCTTCTTCTTTACTGTGGAGAAGGGACAGGGATCAGTTACTGCTCTCCATATGGAGACCCTGGGAGTCGGGATACAAACCCAAAAGGATGGGGGCTCATGTCTGCAGATGCAGCAAGGAAAGCCTGAGGGTCTCTCTGGGGCTGCCACCCACCTCTCAGCACTTTCCTATCAGGGCTCACTCACGCTCTTGCCATTCCCTAGACTCAAGATGTCCTTCTACACCTGCTCAGATCTCTTCCCCTTTCCTAGCTCTGCCATGGACCCACCATCCAACAACACTGGCCCAGAAGCCTAGGATCTCCAGGAACCTTTCATGTTCAGACACTTGAATCACTGAAGCCTCTACAGAGCCTCCTGAGAATGTTTTCAACAAAGATTCTGGCCTCACTGCTCCTGAGGTGAACTGTCAACACCGCCTTAGCTGGGCTCACTGCTGCCATCTTCTCACCCCCTGCTTTATTATCAAAGTCAGTAAACTCTCATTTCCCTCAGAGTTGCCACCTCCAGAACAATAGCATACAGAACTAAGACTACCTGGCTTGGTCCTTCTCACTACCCAATCTCCCCAAACAGAACACCTTCCTGCTCATTCATACATCCTCTCCTATCTACATCCAGGCCTCATGCTTCCCCAAGCACATTCTTATGAATCCTCCAGGCTCACCTCAAACACCCACCCCCAACACTGCTCCTTCAAGTTGCCGTGTGATCACATTCTCCTTCATTCCATGAATTCCCCAGCATACAAATACATGCAGATGTGCTCACTCATGTGTGCACACCCACCCACATTATGTGCAGCATCAACACATGCACACACAGCTACCATATATATGTATGTACATACACAGAGCTGTGTACTCTACAAGGGGAAGGAGCAGCTTCTTTTCTGTTTTTTCTGTACCCAGTGCCCCCAGCCTGTTGCCCAGCCTTAGGCAGACCATAAACTGATAAAGAACAGCATAGCTAGCCCCCCTTGGCGCTGTTGCAGGATCTGAAAACAGGCTGATCTTATAAAACTTTGACACTTGACCCAAAATTGGAGCTGAGAAGGGCTCTTACTAGTGATAAGCCAGGCAGGACTTAGAATGGCACCTTCTTAGTTCACTGTGAGATTTACCTGCCTCCCAAGCCTCAACAGGGGCACTATTCTCCTAAGTCCTTTTCCAATGGCAAGGCCACCAGGTACAATCATGTGCTCACAGGGCAGGCTGTATGTCCAGAGCATTGGCTCACACCTGTGACCATGCCCCACAAAAAGTGGGCCTCAGCCTTATCATGCTGCCACTGGGCTACAGAACACCTCAGATTAAGATGAGTGACACTCAGCCTCATCAGCACCCCTCAGTGATGGGCCACACTGAGTCAGACAATGTTGGAGGCTCCTGGATCACTTTACCTTCCCAGTTCACCATAGCATGAAGTTGTCTCATGCCATAAGCTGCCAGGTTCACCTGAGCTGAGCTGAAAGGTAGAGGCTGTGAGACTGTCTCCAGAGATCCCAGGAGAGGCAGCCTCGCGACTAGCGGGTTCAGTCCCAGGGATGGGGAACTGTCCAGTCTCCAGAGCACTGGGAGGTCCTCCTGCAGGTCTAGAGGGGCAGGGGAGGGAAGAGCATGCTACAGTAGCTCCACAGGGCAGCTGCCCCTTTCCTGCTGACTGAGGCTACACAAATGGACTAATGGACAGCATGTGTGATAGGGCTTCAGAATTCACAAGGCTCTGCCCACACTGGCGGCACAGTAGTGGTTGAGTTAGCAGGGGCGGTTGTTATTAGGTGCTGTTGAGTCGAGTACTAAAGCCCATTGTGCCAGTCCTGTGTCAATCCACTTGGTTGAGGGTCTTCTTCTCTTTCATCAACCCTATATCTTTCCAAGCTTGATGTCCCTCTCCAAGGAATAGCCCCTCCTAGGAACATGCCCGCAGTTATGTGTGCTTTATCATCTTTGCTTCCAAAGAGTACTCTGGTTGTACTTTCTCCAAAATATATTTGCTCTTCTGGCAGTCCAAGGAATGTTCAATACTCTCCTCCAGCACCACAGCTCAAAGGCATCAATTCCTCTTCTGTCATCCTAGTTCATGTACAGCTCTCAGATGCATAACAACTGATCTGAAAGATCAGGGCCTGAATCAAATGCACTTTAGTCCTAAATTGACATCATTGTTCCTCAATAATTTGGAGAGGTCTCTGACTGCAGTATTTCCCAGTGCAATAAGTCTCCTGATCTCCTGACTGGTGGTACCAAGGGTGTTGATTATGGATCCAAGTAAGATGAAATTGCATGGGTTAGGGTCAGCATTTCATACAGCAGGAAGCTGAACTGAGAAATGTGAGCTCTTGCCTACACAGCAGTGGGAATGCAGACTCCTTTGGCTTCACACCCTTTAAGGAGTGCAGTAAAGGCGCACAAAGACTCACAGGGGTTGAATGACACTGAAGGGGGAATATACTGTGTATAAAGAGGCTGCAAGGGACAGCAGTCATAACATAATGAGGGGCAAGGGCGGCACAAGGACAGGGAAGGAGGGAGAAGAGGACACGGAGGCCCTGTGGGAGGGAGCAGAACCTTCAAGAGCCTAACCTCAGCCTCAGGATCTGATGCCAAGCAGAGGGCATCTCTCCTCAGCCTGTCATCACCTGAAGAACCTTGCCCCAAGCCAGGCCTACTTTCAAGGGCATCCCAGCATCTTCTCCCATTCATGTAGGAAGATACTGAGGCCAGAGGTGTGGCACTATACTTGGACCACACACCTGGAGACAAGCATAGGGGCAAGAACACCTAAGGTGTCCTGTTCTGGAAGGCCACAGCTATGTGAAGAAACTGGGGAGCAAAGGGTCAGGCCACTGGCAGACATGTAAAATGGGAAATGTACAAAGAAGAAGGGAGGCACATTTTTCATTAGCCCCTTGGCAGGTCCTGCTGCCCCAAGGCAACACGTGGATGAATGGGCTAGTATCACAAGAAAACGTGGTTAAAGCACAGTGAGTGCAACAAGATCTGGCCAGTCCAGTCAGAGTCAGAGCAAGGCCACTCCACATAGGACAAGAGTCTTAGAAGACCCAAGTTTGAGACTCCCACCCTACTCACTCTCACCAGCCACTGCTTCAATCCAGCAGGCCAGGGAGGAGAATGGAACTAGCTAGAGGTTGTTAACTACACTTATGCTTAGACAGTTTCCAGGGCAGCTCTAAGGGACTCTGAGGAGAGTGGGCATTAGAATTCTTGTCCAGTCTCTGAGTGGCACCCAGAGCCCACTATACAGGACATGCCGGTGAGACAGATACACACTGCTCCTCCAGCTTTGCAGCCTTGGCTAAGGATAAGAAAACTACCAATTAACTTTAAGATGGAGTCTCCTCAATTTCTCTGTCAAGACTAAATATGAGGTGATGCAGGGGGGCCTAACAGGCTGATAAAGGACCGCTCAGGCAGGCTAGCAGAACTCCCAGGCCTCCTGATTCCAGACACAGTGCCCTGGCTGTGCCCCTGTTCCCATCACTTCTCCCCCCAGACCTGCTCCCAGTCTGGGTGGGAAGGAGGCAGTGGTGGTGACTCCTTACTTACAAGTCGACTTCCCATGTGTTTTCTCGCAGTTCGGACAATGGTATATGTCAATATCTGGTGCTTCCTCTTCTTCCACCCCAACACAGCTGAAACGGGACAAAACAGAGACCCATCATCAACTCTCAGAGCCTTTCCTTCCATCCACAAAGATCTACAAGAATGCTAAGTACAGAAGGAGCAAGAATTGAGAACATGTGCTGACAGTGTAGGAAGGGAGGCAAGAGGCCAAGGAGGACTGCCCCAGGAGTCTAGACAGAAGAGATCTGGAAAGACTTCGATGGGCATGGAGAAGAGGGTTCCAGAGGGCACTCACCAAAGTACTTAAGGAGTGTCAAATCTCCAGTGCTACTTGGGAGAAGGGGTAGAAACAGGGCCAATGAAGTGCCAGGGGCTTTGGACAACCCACTATGAGAATCAGCAGGTTGAATGTTTTCATTGCCCCTTCATAAGAATCACAAAACACAGAACCCAAGATTCCTGGAGACCAATATCCTTTTCTTCACAGATTGGAAACTGGTGCTTGAAGAACAAATGGTGCCCAAGACCTCAAAGTCAGTGAGTGGAGGAACCCTTAAGTTCTTCTACCAGCTCACTACATTATGAGACCACCACAACTTCCAGTCTCATGCTCTGCTGAAACCTTCTCTCTCTGGTTCTTTGGACAGAGAAACCTGGGTGTCTTCCAGTACTACATGAGCAGAGCTTCTGGAAATCCAGCTCATCTGCAGAGGGCCATGGCCAAAGCTAAAGCCCATCTGTGGGCATACTCAAGACCCTAAGGAGACCAGAGGTCCCCTATCACTCACTCATTGCCACCGAGTAATTAATGGTTTGTTCCAATCAATCCCTGTTCTTGGTTTGACTGCTGATACTAAGCTTCTCCACTTTCTACAAATCTAGTCACTCTAATTCCTAAGTAATCCATCAGGTGAGATCTCTCTGCATCATCTGGGTTTAATAGTTTTTTTATTTTTTTATTTATTTTTATTTTACATGTGCTTGCATACAAAATCCATATGCATTTTTCACACATAATTTGTGCTTCATTCATACACAAAGTGCTTTACACCTTCCTTCATTCATATTGTTTCATTAAAATTAATCACTGATGATTTATGCCCACTATTATCCTGTCTTTTCAGTTCCCCACTGAATCACTCCCTCCACCCACCAAACTCTATAAACACATGATTTCCCCTCTTCCCATCCTCAATTCCCCTGCCGCCTCTCCTTCCCACTTTGGACCCTTGTGCACATCCTGCTAGTCATCCTTTTATTTTTACAACAATGGCCTTATGCAGTATTTGTCCTTAACGGACTAATTTACTCAGCATAATGCTCTCCAGACTCTCTCACATTATTGATATAGTATTTTTCAAAATTGTTGCTCCTGAGTGCTGCATAGTATTCCACTGTGTGAATATACCTCAAAAAGTTGATATTACCCAGCTATTCCATTGACAGGAATATACCCTGAGGAAAAGAGAACTGAGACACAAATGGAGATTTGTACACCAATATTCATAGCAACATTATTCACAATAACAAGAACATGGAAACAACCCAAATGTCCATCAACAAATTAGTGGATACTTTTTCCATGAATGGCCTCAAGTGATACCTCCCAAAATGGTTCGCTACTCACTTAACCCAGAAAATCCCACAAAACCATGCAAATCAAGAGGCTCAAATCTCTAGGTCCATTTTAAGAACACCTGGAAAACTACCCAGGCCATCAAGGATATGTATATGTGGAAAGCCACCAACTATATGAAAGGTGTCACTTTGCAAAAGCAGTGTGTGCCATTCTGAATGTTACAATGGAGGAGATGGTAGGTGTGCCCAGGCCAAACAGTAGGGTTGGATACAGGGTCGGTGGCCCAAAAAGAGTGCAGAGGTTTTGCGGCATATGCTTAAAAAACCCAGAAATTTATGCAGAACTTAAGGGGTCAGATGCTGATTCTCTGATCATTGTGCACATCCAGGTGAACAAAGCTCCCAAGATGTGCCACCAAATGTACAGAGCTCATGGTCGGATTAACCCTGCATGAGCTCCCTCTGCCATAATGAGATAATCCTTACTGAAAAAGAACAGACTGTTCCTAACCCAGACAGGGAGGTTGCCCAGAAGAGAAAGATCTCATTAAAGAAACAAAAACTTATGGCTCAGGAATAAAACCTTCATCAAATAAAATGAAAATAACTTTAAAGCTTAAAACACACACACACACACACACACACACACACACACACACACTAAACAAATGAATGGATTGAGAATTAATGGTACACTGACACAATGGTTTATGTCTGTTGTGTTTTTGTTTATTTTTTTTAAAAAAGTTCTTTGCAATGAGCAAGTCATTGACCGCACAAAATTTTATCACTCATCTCCAGTCTCATTTCTGTCAACAAGGCCATATTTTGCAACTAACAGCTAGTTCAGGAGATTTCTTCAAGATCCTCACTAGACATAAGAATTTTAAAGAAATCAGTCTGCTCTAGAATAGGACTACTGACATTAGAATGATTTCATAGATAAGACAGACCAGATCAAGAATGCCAAGTACAAGTTGTTACAAGACCCAGGGACATGAAACACAAACAGCCTGAAATTCAACTAAAATAGGCTGTCCCAGGCATTCCTTCCTAACAACCATTGGCTTTACTAACAATTAATGTTTTGGTTTTTCTTTTAAATTTTTTTTTTTACTTTATAATGATTTGCTTACAAAGTTCATATACATTGTTCTTCACACCAGTTCTTCCCATTTCCTTTACCCATCCCTCCCAACAATTTATGTTTTGTGTTGTCTAAAGGACATATGTATGCAGAGGTGAGAAGAGGGACTGCAGTATGACCCTGTAGGGAGAACAGTCATAGGAGGACACCTACAGTGCACCTTCCCTATGAGTAAGCACCTAAACAGATACTTCTTAAAGACCAGCTGTGTGCCTCCAGATGTGGGTGACATCCTCTTTTTTATTTTATTTTATTATTTTTTATGTGTGTACCGTCAAATCAGATCTGACTAGTACAGGAGGAGATTGTCCCTCCTTCTCCAGCAGAGCATCTGGTGGATTCGAACTGCTTGCCTCTGGGATTGCAGTGCAGCTTCTTGCCACTAGGCCTCCAGAGCTCGCTGACATCCACTTTTCTAATATAACCCTTACTTTCCCTGCTAAAATTGGGAAGTATATAAGCCTTTCCCCATGCCCTTAACCCAACCCACGAATATCCCCTCAAAACTTCCATTCCTTAAGATCTATATGTTGTTGTTGTTGTTGTTGTTGTTGTTAAGTGTCGTCAAGTTGCAGGCGACTCATACCGACCGTATGAAGGAGAGTCCTCAATGCTTGGGTGTCTTTCATCCTCTCTCCAGGTTCATAGGGTTTCTGGAGGCAAGCTATTACAGAAGTCAATGCCACTTCTGCTTCCAAACTAAGATCAATATACATTAACAATATAAAATAAATTGTATGCATTTTCCATTCCAGAGAGAGAGAGAGAGAGACAGAGAGGGAAAGAATGTATAAAGAGCTCTTACAACTTAACAATAAAAAGACAAGTAATGCAATTAAAAATGGGCAAAGCATATGAACAGACATTTCTCAAAAATATATTCAAGCATATGAAAAGATGCTCAACATCATTAGTCATTAACACATGCACACAGAGACAGAGACAGACAGACAGAGACACAGACAGAGACACAGAGAGAGAGGAGCTGCCACGTCAATTCTAAACCATGGCAATCAAGTACGCTTCAGACTAGAACAAGCCTGTCAGTGGTGATAACCATTCATAAGTGGACCATCAGGTCTTCCTTCTAAAGTGCCTTTCCAGCAACCTGGACCAGGATATAAATAACTGTTCAAAAGGGAGGGGAGGGGAAACGAAGGCAGAGGAGGGGAGGAAAAATGGAAGGAAGGAAGGAGGAGAAGAAGGGGGAAGAGGAAAACATCAACACAACAAAGTAGGGCAGCAGAGGTCAGTGCAAAGATGGGTCAGGAAGAGGAATAGGCAAGGTGCGGAGACATGTTAATACAAGTCTTTGGTCTACTGTAATTAATATAAAACCTAATGTATAATAAGGGATATACCTTTAACTTGCTAGTCTGTCTGATACTTCTCTAAATCTGAACATTCACATTAAGACAGACTAGGAAGAAGGATTGGCCATCCACTTCTGAAATAGCAGGCCTCTGAAAACCCTATGTACAACAGAACACATTTAGATAAC